GCTGTGTGGTCACTGCAGTGGACCATTGAATGCAGAGGAGAGAGTGCCGTGGGCAGCACCGCTGGTCAGGATTGGCACAGAGGTCAGAGAGTGGGGGTGGGTCTGAATCCACCGCCCAGGCCTTGGCTGGTGACACCCCCGCCCCGAAGTCAGCAGGCTCTGACGATGCTGCCACTACCCAGAAGCACCTGAGTGACCCCTAGCTCACCCAGGCCCTCTGTACCTTCACCCAGAGCGTGTACACTGAGGGTCTCTTCCCTCCCTCCCCCACTGCTCCCCACGTACAGCCGCCACTCCCCCACCACCAGGAGTTGTCCCAGATTCCCCTTCCCCCCACCTCAGGGAGGGCTTCCCTTCTCTATGCTCATGGCTCTAAGAGGCTGAGCCCACCCTTCCTAGGTCATGGAAGCAGCACAGCTGGAAGCTGACCATTCTCCCCAACTGTCCCTCAGAGAAGGTCCCTGGGCCATGGCTAGCATCCTCGTGTTGCAGTACCGCGGAAGGCCACCAGAGGGCAAAGATACACAACTGAGCCTGAGCATCAGGCTGGATCCGGCTGCCAGGGTCCAGGGGTCCATGTAAGAGGCTCCAGAACCTTCTAGATCAGCCATCTCAGATGTCACATGGAGAGGCTAAGACTTCAGACAGAAAGTACTGGAGGCCACTCACGTGGTCCTTGGTGTTCACTCATCATTAAGTGAATGTGTCCAACCAGCTCTGCGGCACCTTCTCTCGGGCTCCATCATTTTTCTGCCTTCTCTGTCATCTGGCCACACACACAGAGGCACAACATCCACAGAGGCACACACACACAGACACAAAGACACAAACATCCACACAGGCGCAAACATCCTCCCAGGCGCACACACACAGGTGCACACACAGACACACACAGGTGCACAGACACACAGACACACAGGTGCAAACATCCACACAAGGTGCACACACAGACACACACAGGTGCACACACAGACACACACAGGTGCACACACACAGAGGCACAACATCCACAGAGGCACACACACACAGACACACAGGCACAAACATCCACACAAGCATACACACACAGGTGCACACACAGACACACACAGGCATGCATATACACAGGTACACACAGGCACACACAGGACAGGTGCACACACATACACAGATGCAAACACAGGTGCACACACCCACACAGGAGGCACACACCCACACCAAGTGCACACACACACATACAGACATAGCGTAGGTGTGCACATTACACACATTCACATACATATATACATAGGCACACACAAACATACATGTGCACATACATGCATACACAGGTATACACACTCATGGTCATATACACACAGGTATACACTATGCACACACACGCATGCACACGCATATACCCCCGTGTGTATACGTGTGTGTATTCACATGTGTGTTCCTATGTGCACGTATATACCATACAAAGGTGTACATTACACACACCCTTCCTGATCTTACACTGTGTGATGTTTCCTTGCTCTGTTCACACAGCATCCTCTTGGACTAAACGTCACTTTTGTAGGAGTACAGTTGAATGTTCTGGGATTCCCATTCTTCTCAACGTTAGCCATAGTTTGGTTGAGTTTTTTCATTATTAAACATTTTCTTTCTCCCTCCTCTTCCCCAACACGCTTCACAGTGTACCCCTTGTTTCAGACTGTTTTCATGCATTCAGTGTTAGCTGTAATTTGTTACTATCTACACAGTCAAGTAACCTCGCATAGTTAATAAGACACAAACAGACATTTTTCTGGTATTCCCTGGTTTCAGCCAAGTTCCGTCTGACATTAATAACGATGCCCCTGGTGCCACAGCTGCTTCTAAATCCAGAGACCTTCTAACAGTTCTCTGTCCATGTTCTAGTCATTTTTTAATGATCTCCAACAATATTTTGCTTGCATATGGTACTAATGGAATTGTTTGATAAGTTCCATATTCTGTTTGATCACCTTTTTGAGGAATGGGGACAAACATGGAAATCTCCCAGTCAGTCAGAAGGACAGAGGTCTGCTGGTGGCAGGGTTGGCTGGGTCCTGCAGAGGGTCCTGAGCCCTGGAACACAGGTCTGTGGGTGATGAGCAGGCCACGCCAGGTTCCACCCGGATCCAGAGGTCCAGGGTAGAGCGATGGAATATTATTTTTATATTCTGATCTTGAACCCCCAGCACAGGTACGATCCATGTATAATTCCTCTCACTCTGTAGGCTTCTCTTTATTTTCTAGACAAGATCTCTCTGTCACTGGAGATTTCTCATCTTGTCTGACATCAGATAAATACACACACACATTTCTGTGCATAGCAAATTCTGGAACTATGCATGGGGTGAGGAGAAGATCCAGGTAGCTGGCACACTGCAGGCTGCATTGTCCCTGAACCCAGCACCCACCACTACCCTCCTGCTGATGCCCTGCCTGTCCGAATGCCTCTCTGTCAGGACCACTCTTTGGGCTAGGACAGAGAAGAAAGAGGTGAGGTCTGCATAGCAGGGGTTTGAGGGAAAACCGTCTGTGCTCTGGAAGACATTGAAAGAGAACCTGCCCCTTGGGTCTTTCTACGTGTTTTGTGTTTCCTCCACCCTGCAGCCTCCCTCATCTCACAGTGCAGCCATGACAACCCCCACCCTGCAGGCCCCCCCATCTCACTGTGTGGCCACGTTGCCCCACCTGGGGTGGGTGCAGTGATGTCCCACATCCTAACGCCCATCACAGGTGGCACCTAGACTCCTCAGGTCTCCATGAAGCTCTGAGTCTGGGGCCCCAGTTCCAGACGAGGAAGTCTGCCCTCTTCCCAGCCCCGGAGTGATGTGCACAGGCCTCTACTGTGCCTGGAATGTGGGCAGCACCAGGGCAACCAGCCTGTCCTCAGGGTCTGTCCTGGGGCCCTGATCTGACCAAGGTCCACCAGGTGCTGTGTTTTGTCGTCTTCTCTGCCACACCGTCCAGCCTGGCCAGAAGCCTGGAGGTCCTCTAGGGACAGCTCCATACATGAGGTCACTGGGTGGACAATGTCCTACAGAGATGTCCTAATTTATGCCCCAAACCAATCTGAGACAAGGACTCTGGCTCACGTAGCTTATCTGGGCACTGGCCAGGAAGCAGACCCGAGAGGGAGGGTGCTGCAGATTCTGGGTGCTGTGGAGTGGAGGAGCCGGCACAGAGCAACCCCAAGGACTGGAAAGCTGGGCACATGGTCCAGGACAGATCGGTCGGCCCCTGGAGGGCAGCATCTGGATCCTTCAGGGTCACTGACACTCACACTGTCCATGCTTTTGGTGGGGGGGACATGAAGCTTGGGGGGCCCTTTCAGAACTTGGAGCCTACAGGGTGGGAGAGGCTGGGGAGGGGACTGAGGAAGGTGGGGCCGGAGGAATGTGGCCTCCAGGGGACATGGGGACTGAAGGTGCCTGGACCTGGAGGTGAGGGGTATGGAGGTTACACACTGACAGAACTCGAGTTCAGAGGCTGGAGGGACTAAAGGATGTAGGGGAGCTGAGGGGGTTAAGGATGTGGAGTGCAAGAGGAGGAGAAACTGGAGGAATGTGGGGTGGGAAGAGGGAGAACCTGGTGGGGCCTGGACCAAAAAGAGGAACTGGTGGGGAGAGGGGCTGGCGGGGGCCAGGGGCTGGGAGGGAGGGCCTGGGGGGAGTGGGGATGGAGGGGCTGGTGGGCCCCACTATGAAGGAGGAAGGTCCTCTGGTGCCTTCTGGGGACCAGGAATCCAGCTGGAGGCAGACAGGCCCAGGGAAGATGTCTGTACTGTATGCAGACGGTTCTGCCCTGGCGCAGGTAACTGCCTTCCCACACCTGCCCCCTCCAAGAGACCCCCAACAGACAAGACAGGTGACCCAGGTGATGCTGAAGTGCTTTATTAGGTGGGGTCAGGGGGGCTGATGGGGTAGAGGGCTTGGGAGGATGAGGTGGTACTGGTTCCAGATGGGGGATCACAGGTTGCTTCTGCATTGAGTGATGCAGGACCCCCAGGCCATGGGACTGCCGGACCCTCTCTCCCTAGAACAGAGGACAAGGAGTCAGTGGCCACACTAGGGCTCAGAGGGGGGCAGTGGGCAGAGCAGGGGCAGTGTGAGGGGCTAATCCCCGCTCTCAGGACCCAGCACCGGACAGAAGTGGACAGGGTCCTCTTAGCAGGCTGCCAGCATCCCCTGGGAGGGTGACAAAGGGAGTGCTGGGGGGGCAGTGGAGCTGGGGCTGCTCTGGGAGGGAGCAGTTCACGGAACAGCTGTGGACAGGCCTCCTGGGAGGTGCACCCCAGCAGTGGCTGAGGGGTACATAGGTACTAGGACACTTCTTTTTGGGGTGAGGTACCAGGGGGGATCAACAAGGGGGATGGAGAGTGACACTGTGACTTGCCCACTGGGATGGGGTATCTGAGCCCCAGGACCCCATGCTCAACAGAGCTGGCAGGCAGCGGCCAGTGTCCAGTCTCCATGAACAGAGGCAGCCTTGCCTCGCCCAGTCATCTGGCCAAGCAGGAGCAGGAAGTAGGGGCCACACCTGGAACTCCACTGAGCCCCCCTAAAAACAGGCACTCACCTTATGCTTCTCCTGCAGAGCAAGTTTCTGTAGAGAAAAGGAAACACGTGACTCAGAGGACCCCACGCCTGGTCAGGCCCAGGACCCCACCTTGGTCCACAGTTGCAGGCCAGAGAAATGCTCTCAGGGTATGCGGGGACACCCACAAGAAAGCCGGGTACACCCCACCCACGCGTATCATGCCCACCAGCTCCGGTCACTGGTCTCCAGAGTCCAGTCACCAGGCCTTTCCTCCAAGTCAGCTCTGCTGGACACCAACCCCCAAGCTCGTGGTCAGCAGCCAAGGGAGTGAACTGTCCACACTGCCCTTCAGGACTGAGATGGTGTGAAAAGCTAGAACACCGTGCTCCTGCCCACGTGGCCCTGCAGACTGCCCGCCCCAGGCAGCGGGGCCCAGCAGCTCGAGGGGAGGGGTGGCCAGCCCTTCTTACCCAGTTGCTTGGGGATAAAGAACTTCTCTGGGTCGAACCCTCGGTCTTTAACAAACTCCTTAAACTCTTCCAGAGCAGCCTGGTTGCTTTCTGAGTCTCTCCCTGTGGGGATGCAGGTGTGACACATGGCAGACATCAGAGGGGTGGCTGCACTCCCATGCAGCCTGAAGAAGTACCAGTCTCCAGGTGGGCTCCCGGTGGTGTAGGCCCCAGGCCAGGGCTGGGCTGCGGGCAGGCAGGAAGGGCCAGCCATCGGCTGCAGAGTGAGTGCTCACTGCAGCCGATCTGGGGACAGGACTGTGCAGTATCCATGCAGCTTGGGAGCTCCCAGCAGTGAGCAGCCAGTCGAGGGGGGGGATGCACGTCCCCTCAGACCAAGCGTGTCAGGGACCCGCAATGAGGCCACTGAGGCTCCCAGCCCGAGGTCAGTGGAGACGTTGCCGCCTGTCCACATTGGAACCACCTGCTCTAGAAGTAAGCCACTCCCTACTGGAGTCCACCAACCCCACCTGGAGACCCCAAAGGCTGGGGGCTGCAGGAAGGCACGGTGAAGGGTCTTCTGGGGACACCTCTGGTGGCTCAGCACAGACCTGGCCCTGCAGCCCCCAGCCCCGCTCCGAGGGCGGATGGGCTCCGATTGCAGATCCCAGTTCCTCACTCACTGCCCTTGAGCGCTCTCTATCAAGGCAGCCCCCCGAAACCCATCCTGAGGCCACTAGAGGGGTGTCCAGGGGAAGGGAGGCAGGGGTGCTGGGTGTCCACTCACCCACAAGCTTAGCCATGCGGACTTGCTGTCCTTTCAGCTCGCCTTCACAGTAGAGAATGTAGTGGCCACTCGTGTGGGTCTTCTCGATGGACACGTGGCGCTTGCCCCCGTCTGTGTGAGGGTCAGAGATGAGTCATCAGGTAGGAGCCGCACGAGGCCTCAAAGGACAAGGGAGGGCTCCTTTCCAGCCACGTGACCCTTTCTTTCCAGAAACATCCGTGGAGCTTGTGCATTGGTTGGGGCACAGCCAGCAGACCCACAGCTATCTGGGTCCCTAACCCAGGATGTGGTGCACCAGAAGATGGGAGGGGGCGTCAGTGGGCCCCATCCATGAGTGAGGCTCTGCCCCCTGACCCCTCTGTCCCTCCTGGGGCAAGCCCCCACATTGGGACAGTACATCTATCCCTGAGGCACAGTGACTGAGGGAGGGAGGGGCCTCTAGTGGGGTCCCCCCCTCTCCCAGCATGCTTCAGGGGTACTCACAGGCCGTGAATGTCCCAGTGTCCCCATCTTTCTCCAAGACCAGCTTTACCTCCTCACACTGCCCATTCGCCCTGGGGAGCAGGAGCCACAAAGTGGGCACAGTGCCCTGTCCCGGCCTCACAGCACCCCCCAGAGCAGCCACAGCCAGCCGCCTTGCCCCTGTGCCAGTCTGCTTCCAGACTGCTCTGCCTGGACCAGAGCCCCCCAGGCTGGACATCCAGAGACCACCCTACATACACTCTGTCTCACTGGGGGAAAGGAGTCAGAGGTTTGGGACAAAATGCTGATGCCACTGTGCCAGGGTCAGTGGATTCCTGAGGTCAGTCCTTAGGACAGGACATAGCCACTGCCACATCACACAGGTGGGAGATATCAGGTGAATTCACACAGATAAGGGCCACATGTGTGGAGACATTATGATGAAGGAGAGGAGATTGAAACTGTCAACAACTTCACCTTGCTTGGATCCACAATTAAACACCCTTAGAACCAGCAGTCAGGAGGAGATAAGGAGACACACTGCACTGGGAAAATCAGCAGTTAGAGACCTCTCCAAATTATTGAGGAGATGTCAGTTTCAGTTTGAGGATTAAGGTGAGTCTGATTCAGGCCATGGTTTTTTTCTGATCACTTGCTATGCATCTAAGAGCTGGACAGAGAATAAAGACGATAGAAGACTTGACGCCTTTGAGCTGTGGTTTTGTCCCATGGACGGCCAAGAGAAGGAACAGACATGTCTTGGAGAGGGTGCAGCCCGAGTGCTCTTTGGAGACAAGAATGATGAGGCTTCGCCTCACATACTTTGGGCATGTTGCTGGGAGGGGCTGTTCCTTGGAGAAGGACATGATGCTGGGAAGGGTGGAGGGTCAGTGAAGGAGAAGACCCTTGACTAAGTGGACTGATGCAATGGGTTCTTGCGTGTCAGGAAGTGTGAAGATGGCACAGGATAGAGCAGGATTCAGATCTGTTGTTCAGAGTCTCAATGAGACAGCACCTAACAAGAACCACACAGATGAGAGTAGCCACCCAGGTAAGAGCCATCCAGCTGAGAGTCACATAGGAGAGAGTTTCTCAGGTGGGCACTATACATGTGTGAGCAATCCGGATGGGAGCCACGGAGGTGAGAATTACAGGTAAAAGCCACACAGGTGAAAGTTACACGAGTGGAAGCCATACCGGTCAGAGTTATACAGAGGGGAGGCACACAGCTAGGAGGACAGGTGAGAGCCACACAGGTGAGAGCCACACAGGTAGAAAGACACACAGAGGCCTCTCACCATCCCCCAACCCCACCCCGTGATGTGTGTTCGTGTGAGACTCAAGTCTGAGGTCTGCCTCTGGCTGGGGTAAAGCACCTTTTCACAAGGGGCCTATGGCAGACAGGATGCGTCAGTCAGCAGAACAAAAGGGGTCCCAGAACCCCAGGAGACCTAGATTGAGGCACCCTCTCCCATCGAGCCCCTCAGCCCCCCTCAAAGCTGCTGGGCTGAGGTCCACAGGGATTTAAGAAGGGCTCCTACATCCCCCTTCCCGGGCTGAGGCCCACAGGGTTGAGGGAGGGGCCCCTTCACCCCCTTCAGCTCCTCATGTCAGGAGAATGAGGCCCCTGGCCCCTCCCACCACCAGGACGCACTCACAGAATGGTTGTCTTCAGTTCCAGGCTGCCTCCCTCCAGTACACTGACCGTCAGGGGCATCATCGCCTCCACCTTTTTCCCCGGGATCTCCTTGTCTGCGATGACAGCTTTCAGGTACCATCTCCCTGAAACCTGGACGAGCCCTCTCCTCAGGCCTGGGAACGCCCGGCCCACCCGGGCCCCCTGCTTGCTGGTCTACACTGCCCTACGGGCTTGCAGCAAGGGAAGTGCCCCACCCCTACCCACCACCCCCCTGTGCCCTCACCCCTACCCGCCAGGCCCCATAACAGTGCTTCAGCCCAGGTCAGGGCATCCAGAGAGACAGACAGGGTCAGCTTAGTTACGATCCACACTCCCAGCAGCTCTAAAGGTCTGCCTGGCCACTCCTCAAGGGCTAATGCCTGACGCTGAGGCACCCTTCTTGAGTCCAGGGCCCCACTTGGGTCTCTGGTGCAGCCCCATCTGGACTCACATTCTCCTCTGTAGCCCGGGCAGTCTGGGCCTGCAGGGCCACAATCAGGCCAAACACGAAAGTCGGGAACAGCGTCTGCATCGTGGAGGTCCAAGCTCACAGGTGAGATCACTTGCTTTGCTGCGCACGGCCACCCTTATACGGTGCTCAGACACCGGCCAAAACACCTCCTCCCCCCGCCATGGCCAATTCTGCACCGGATCCAACAAGAGGTCATTATTGTTGGAAGCTGTAGACTGGCCACACCTTCACCCCAAGGGTGGCCAGCCCTCCCGTTCAGAGGAGCTTGCTTGCACAATGTCTGCTCGGAAAGTGGGTGCTGTCTGCTGAAGGGTTGGGGTCCATCACTCCAGCCTGTCCTCCAGTCCTTACACTCAGCACCAGCTCAGCTTCGAACCAGTGCTGGGGAAGGGCAGCCAATGACCAGTAGCAAGGGTTTGCCCGTCAATGACCTTCCTGTGCCCTGAACAAGTCATCCTCTGAGACTGACTGCCGGCTGGGAGCTGAGGGTCCACGCAGCCAGACCCTGTCCTCCCTATGACGTTGATTTGGGCCCCCCAGACTCATGTGTGGAATTCTCCCGCCCCCCCACCCCGTGCCAGAAGCTCCCACCATGCCGGACCGTGTGGGAGGGTCTGCTGGGATGGGCAGGACATTCCGCTGGTGTTTCTGATGCCAGCAGGATCACCCATGATGGGCAGGGCTCAGTGGGGCTCCTAGACCAGGACAGGTAGGAAAGAGCCCGTGATCTACTGGGATGTGAACGGAACCTGTGAGCTGGGTTAGCAGCACGACTGCACGGACGGCACAGACAGCGCCAGGAGAAACACGGATTCATCTCAACCATCTCCTTCGAAACAGCTCAACAAAGCAGCAAACCACTCGTGCTGGTGGCCCCCACACTGCTGGTGGGAATGGAAGCAGCATGGCAACCATGGAGCACATCTGACACTTGGTTAGAAAGTTGAGAACAGAGATACCCCTTGATCCAGCATCTCATTACAGGTACACACCTCAAAGAAGCAAGAGCTGCAGCGCCAACGCACGACCTCACCCACGTTCACCACAGCACTATTACAACAGCAAAAGTTGTCAACAACTCAAGGTCCATCAACAGACAAAAGACTAGAGGAACCATGTGGTGGTCACACAATGGAACATTGTTGTTATGTGACATTGCTTCACCTGCAACTCACAGCAGCCCTGTGTACAACAGCTCTGAAGCCTCCTCTGGCCTGAGCCTGCCTCACTGACTCCAACACACTTATGCCCCCATTGCCCTAGTTACTGTGTCAACCCATCTCATCCAGGGCCTTCCTCTCCTGTACCATCCCTCTACCTTTCCAAGTATAATGTCCTTAAGGACTGATCTCTTCTGGCCACATGCTTGAAGTATGTGAGACAGAGCTTCAAAATCCTTGTCTCAACCTGATTTCAACCCCTCTAGGATAGACCTATACTTGGAAAAGGAGGCAGTCATCAGAACAGAGCAAGGAAAACTGCGTGGTTCAAAATTGGGAAGCATGTACGCCAGGGAAGTGTCCTGTCTCCATACCTTGTCAATCTGTATGCAGAACAAATCATCCGGGAGGCTGGGTTCTATGAGGAGGAATGTGGCATCAGGACTGAAGGACGACTCATCAACAATCTGCATTATGCAGATGACACAACCCTGCTCGCTGAAACTAAGGAGGACCTAAAGCGCTTGCTGCAGAGGGTCAAGGACTGCAGCCTTCACTATGCGTTGAAGCTCAACATCAAGAAAACAAAGATTCTCACCACTGGGCCGATTGGCAGCATCGTGATGGATGGTGAAGAGATTGAGATTGTTCACAGCTTTAGTTTGCTCGGCTCCGCAATCAACACTCTTGGCACCAGCAGCCAGGAAATTAAAAAAAGTATTGCCATTGGGAAAGTCTGCTGTCAGAGACATCTCCAAAGTACTGAAGAGCAATGATGCCAGTATGGAGACTAAGGTGCTCCTGATACAGGCCACGGTCATTGCCATCACTTGCTATGCCTCAGAGAACTGGACAGTGACTAGGGATGATAGAAGAATTGATGCCTTTGAGCTGTGATGTTGGAGAAGATTATTGAATATACCATGGACTGCTGAGAGAACGAACAGGTTCATCCTAGAGAGGGTTAAACCAGGCTGCTCCTTGAAGACAAGGATTCTGAAACTTCGTCTGACATACTTTGGACATGTTGCAAGGAGGTGCTAGTCCTTGGAGAGAGATGTCATGCTTGGGAGGGTGAGGGACAGCACAGGAGAGGAAGACCCTCGATGAGGTGGATTGATTCAGTAACTGGGGTAATAGGAGTAGGTGTGTCGGAGACAGTGCGATTGGCACAAGATAGAGCAGGGTTTAGGGCAGTTGTAATAGGGTCGCTGTGAGTCTCAGGTGACTCAAAGCACATAACAACAACAACATATTCATATATATTCATACATTCATCATTCCATTTTCAGATGCATGGGAAGGAATTTGAAATATTATGGCTTGGACCAAGCCTACTATAATTAGCACTTTGGAGAGGTCTTTGACAGAACATGTCCCCAGCACAAAACACCTTTTGATTTCTTCACTTCTGTTACTATGAGTACTGATTATAAAATAAAGTCATTGACGGCTTCAGCCTTTTTCTCCATATATCGTAATGTTAACTTCGGTCCAGTAGTGAGGATTTTTGTTTTCTTATTGTTGAGATGTAGCCTGTATTTTTTTTTATTTTTTTAAAATTTTTATTATTTTGTGTACATGTACTGTCAAATCAGATCTGCCTGGTACAGGAGGAGATTGCCCCTCCTTCTCCAGCAGATCATCTGGTGGATTTGAACCACAGACTTCTGGGATTATGTGCAGCTTCTTGCCACTAGGCCACCAGAGCTCCCTGAGATGTAGTCTGTATTGAAGGCTGTAGTCTTTGATCTTCTCCAGCAAATGCTTCATGTCCTTTTCACTTTCTACAAGCAAAGTTGTGTCTTCTGTATAAAGCAGGTTGTTAGTGAGTCTTCCTGTAACCCTGATGCCACATTCTTCTTTGCAGAGCCCAGCTTCTCTAATGATGTGATGATTTTTCTCAGTATACAGATTGAATAGGTGTGGTGAGAGAATACAGCCCTGACACACTCCCTTCTCTATTTTAAACCGTGCAATATTCCCCTGCTCTATTTACACAACAGCCCCCTGGTCCTGGTCTAGGTTCCTCATGAGCACAATCAAGTGCTCTGGGATTCCCATGCTTCTCAATGTCAGCCACAACTTGTCATGATCCACACAGTCAAATGCCTTTACATAGTCAATAAAGCACAAATAGGCATTCTCTGGTTTCTCTGCTTTCAGCTAGGATCCATCTGACATCAGCAATGATATACCTGGTGCCACGGTCTCTTCTAAACCCAGCTTGACTTTCTGACAGTTCCTCCAATGGCTTGTTCTAGCTGGTTATTAATAATCTTCAGCAAGATTTTACTTGCATGTGATATTAATGCTATTGTTCAATAATTACTGCTTTCTGTTGAATCACCATTTGGACAATTGGAGCAAATAAAGCTATCTCCCAGGCCACTGGCAAGTCTCTTCAATGTCTTGGCATAAACTAGCGAGCACATCCAGGGCTGCATCTGTTTGTTGAAACATGTCAATTAGTCTCGCACTGATTTTTGGGATCTCATTTCTGTCAATGCCTTCAGTGAAGCTTGAAATCCTTCTTCACGAGCATCGGTTCTTGATCACATGCTGTTACCTGAAATGCTTTCACGTTAGCCAATTCACTGGGGCAGTGGCTCTTTGTATTCTTTTTATCTTCTTTGATGCTTCCTGGGTCATTCAAGATTTTGTCCATAGAATCCTCCTGTATTACTGCTCGAGACTTGAATTTGTTCTCTGGTTCCTTCAGCTTAAGTGCCAACCATGTTCTTCTCTTTTTGTTTTCTAACTCCAGCTCTTTTCACATTTTGTTATAATACTTTGCTCTGCCTTCTTGAGCTGCCCTTTGAAATCCTCTCTTTGTCTTCAGCATTTCTCCTCTATGTTGTTTTTTTTACCTCTTTACGTTCTAGTGCAATTTTCAAAGACATTCTAATCAATTAATTACATTGATCAATTGTAATTAATGTTATAAAACAAAGTATCTAGGAATGGTTGAAAAAAGCAATATGATTTACAAACTTTCACTCAGATAAAAATATAGAAAGGAAGGGAAATAGCATTAAAGGCAGAAGCTCAAACTGCATTGAGGTGTTCGCCAAACGCAGGAGTCCAGGAGTCAGCAAATACCAACGGTGGCGCTTCTGCAGACAGAAGTCAGGGTGAAGAGCTCGCTCGTCAAGAGATCTGGCCCACAAACTGAAAAAGACCCGTGTTTGTGCCCAAAGGAAAGGAGTCCGACAGGCTGCAGAAACCATCAGGTGTCACTGTCACCATCATGTGCGCGTGGCTTTGCTGTACTTGGCCTTGGGGTCCTCCTGGCCAGACACACACCAGCCTGTGGTCTCGGTCCGACCCCCAGGGCCTCACCAGTGGCCACTGTGGCTGCAGCCGCTCTGTCCAGGCTGGGTTTCTGTTTCCCATGACTTTGGCTCCGTCCTGGTGGGGTGCTCTCTTCTCCAGTGCACTTGACCTTGCTTTGCACAAATCTTAGATGAGGCCCCACACTGGAGTGGGAGGGTCCTGGGAGCTGCCAGAGCTGAAGTGGTCACTGTAGAGCTGGGGGTAGGGGTCTTGATCCTCACGGAAGAGTAGGGACAGGGAGAAGCAGCCAGGGCAAGACCCGACACACCCTGGTCCCAAGCCTCGGAGGGGCACCCTCCACATCTTTCCGGTTCTTGGACAAGGGGACAATGCTGCTGTCCCCACAGCTGCCCCCGTGCTTTCATGGGGCAGCCCCAGGTCATCTGGGCACTTGGGGTGCCACACAGAGGTGTCAGTGTGGACATTGGCTGCCCTCTGTATTCCAGGGCACACACGACAGTCGTCCCTCAGCTCTTTGATGGTTCAGTAGCAGATGGGGGGGGGGGTAAGAAGTGGAGAGGTCGCCTGAGAGCCCCAGCAGGAGGACCGTCAGGCCTTCCAGTG